TAGTTTGCAGCACAATCAAGTCAGCATTACATCATACGGCACAGAGATACATACTGATAAACATACTAATACACACACTAATAGACATAATTCCCATACACCACACCTTGATTAAATAAGGCAAACCCCTTACCTGTTTAAAATATTAATTTCTTGAGGCACAAATTTATCTATCGGCAAATACGACTTTCACTAAAAGCACAATGAAGCATTTTCTGATGCATTCAATGAAGCACATTAGAAGATGATAGTTTCTTTAAAAAGTGTTTGTTGCGTCTCAGTGTTTATGTGTTCAGACCGCAGATCCAATTGAAGCTCATGGTCGAGCACAATGCCAAGGTATTTATAATTTCTAACAGATTGTTTAGGCTCCCTGTTAATAAAAGTAGAATTAGATGTACCAATCAATGAATATATATTTGCTATATTAATGTAGCCTGTATAAATCAGTTCCTATTGCTGCCTATTCAAACTTTTTTTAAATATACATCCAGATTGATCTATAAATGACATTTGCATTTATTTTAATGTGTCTTTTTTACACATATAACATATTTACGTATTACTGTAAAGTTTAACTTAACTTGTTGTCGGGAATTGTATGTTACATTTCCCCTGATTATAACCTTTAAACAGATGGGAGATGATCTTGATGATGAGAGGACAAGATAACACTTTTTGGACCTGTTTAATTTTAAAAATCTGAAATTCTTTGATCTTTTCAGTCTATGGTTGCTGTGTTTTCCTCCAGCATGCAGCAGTATGCATTTGAACACTGATATCTCACTTCATAATAAGATGATAAAAACACCCACCTTTCCAGTATCGCTTGCTCCTCCAGCGTCTGTGAAGTCTCTGACTGCCCTGCTTCGGTCTGTGGTCCAAACCTACATTAGTGTTTGTCTGTGCAGGACTTCAGCTGCTTGTTAAAGAGGGTTGACGGCAGGTCTGTGCTGTTTTTCATGTTGCAAAACCAACAGCTATTAATCAGTCTATTACTCTTGCAGTATGGAAATAGTTTGTCACATTATTCAGAGCAAAGGGTCAGCTGTAACAGCAGCACTACATGCTGTCCATAACACCTGCACATAATACATATTTATTCCAGCATCCTTTGCACTGTGAACATGTTTGCTTGTGTGTGTATGTGTACCTGTATATCACATCCACCTCCGACATGTACATAATAATAACAATAATGGTAATAATAATTTACTCCTGCATCCTTTGAACTCTGCTCTTTTCACTATTGTCTCAATCTCTCTATTTTGTTTTTGTTTATAGTGTGTGTATATATGTGTTCTCCATAGTGTAGCCTGTGTTTGATTTTATTACTGTATTATTGTATAAGTAAGCACATCGTGAGCATTTAACAAACCAGAATCAAATTCCTCGTATGTGTACACATTCCTGGTGAAAAAAGCTTATTCTGATTCTGATTCTGATTAAATAATGTCACTCTACATGTAATGGTCCTGTTATAATTGTGGTGTTTCCTGTTATAGATGTTATTCACTTCCTTCCTCTGTGTTCTCGTTCCTCATCTTGATGCTTTTTCAGTTTCGTGGCCGTGTTTTTTCCTGTCTGCCCTGATTCCTTGTGCCACCTGTTACCCTGCCGCCCCCTCTTTCTTTGTTTAAGTTTGCTCGTTCTGTTTGTTCTTGCCAGATTGTTCGTTATGCCACTCCTCCTGATTTTGGATTGTTTGGTCTTCTTCTTTCGAAATACCTACGTATATTTATGTTCCCTGGATTCCTGTTACTCGTGCACTTTGGACTCTTTGTTCCTTGGACTGCCAGCTTTTTTTATTTATTATTGTATTATTTTATATTACCAACTGTAGCTGACTTTGAAGTCTCCTGCATTTTGGGTGCAAATCCCTCATACAAGTTTGCACTTGACCAATCACAAAAATAACAAAAATGTAAACATGTAAAAAAAATTGAGTTTGATAACGACGTTGTTATTTGAGTTTAAATAATCAAATAGCAATGTGTCAGCCAAAAGCTTGTTTTACAAGAATTCCTTTTATTTTAACCAAAATATGTAGGTAAGTATGACTTTTGAATGAAAATTATGCATGAAAGTATTAAGTATGAAATGGAGACACTAAGATATAGTCCACACGTACAAGGGTATTCTTATAACCGGAGTTTTTCCTCCTTTGATTTAAAAAATACAAAAACACGCTATCAAGCGCTGTCAAGAGCATGCCAGGCTGCAATATGAACCAAACCATAAAGCCACATTAGCCAATCAGAGCCCAATAAAATCATAAATAAAGCAGGCAGTGGCACACATCTGACATTTACAGTCTACAAGACTGCAACCGGTGTTTCATAAAATCTTCACCCTGGCAGCAGTTTCATGGGTAAATTCTAAATTGTCTAAATTGTTATCATTAATTATTATAGTCATAATAGTCTACATCATTTGAAGTGTTATTTTTATTGTAATCATAGTTATCTTATAGTTTGATTGTTATTGCCTTTAATGATGAGGTTATTGATAAGGTTGAATCATACCCCCCTCAGGAATGTAGAGGCAGACTTGTGTGAAAACTGGTTACAAAACAGACACCAGTATATTCATATTCCATATAGACAGCAAAAGTTAAGATCACAGTGTTAAAACTCTGTAGCTCTGTGTGTGTGTGTGTGTGTGCTTCTCTCTGTGTCTGACTGCCTGGGCTCAGCAGAAGAACAGTGCACAGTAAAAACGCCCTGTCTCCAGCGCACAGCGCAAAAGACACCAACTTATTCTGCAAAGTCAGGTTCTGGTTGAAATATTATGAGTAAGCATGCCAAGGACACAGAGAGGGGGAGCAGTGCAGCCAGGCCACGAATGCAACAGACTTAGTGGTATAAAAATAAAAATTCACTAAAGGCTAAAAGGTCAGAAAACAATGAGAAAAGAGAGATGACCAAATATCTGTGAATTTCTCCAGATACATGCAGGTGCAGCATGAAAGAGAGCCGAGAGATTATGTAACGCTTAGAGGCAGAGCTATATAAGGAAGTCCGGAAGAAGTTGCAAGTCAGTTGTTACATGGTTTTCATGTCAACTCGGGTCTCTGTTCTGGTAAAAGAACGGGGCTCTATTTAGCATCGATCTCTGACCCTCTCCGGGGAAACTCTTGTACTCCAAGTGGTATCTGATTCTGTTGATAATCAACATGTCGGTAAAAGTTCAAGCCTTTTTATCTGGCCAAAGTCTTGAATTTTTTACACGACAAGTTTTCAAAAATGTTCAGTTTCAGTGACCTGCGTTTCTGTGTGGCCAATAATAAAAATACCCACTTTGAAAACCTCTGGTGTATAGCAATACTGATACATCTGCAACAAGCAAACATCAACTGCTACAGCTCTTAAAACAAGCTCACTAGATTGTATAACATCCTTTAGGAAAGGAAAGGAGAGAATGCCGAATACAGACACGCATTATACTTGAATAACACTCTCACAATTTCCTTCTTTCTTTTGACTTTGTTGTTGTTTCAACACCATTTTATGTTTCGGGCTGTTGAAATAAGCTATAAAGTGTTGTATTAAAATTTTCTACAATAAAAAACAAAAAATAAATCACCGACCATGACGGATAAAGGACAACCATCATCACTATGTAAGTTGCCATTGGCTACCTTTGCTCTCTTAAGCCGTAACTTGCTAATATGCATATGTTTTGAATTGTCAACAATAACTGAGACCCATATGCGAGAACGTTCGGCTGCTAACGCTCTGTTTGCATTAGTTATTTTTGGTCAATGTATTGCCAGACTTCTGCAATATCAGTAATTAATTTTTCTTCAGTCACAGATGATGAAACATTGGCCTTAGTAAAGGCAATGATCAAGGATGACCTCTACAGCAAAGGTAATGTATTATTTCAGTCTTTCCCACACACTGATATTTTTGTGGGGCCTGCCACGTTATCAATGCTGACACATTTTTTTATTAGTATTTAAAATGGGTAAAGTCGATTTGATCACAGAGCTGCACCCAGCACCTCCTCTCACTCGGTCGCTCCCTCTCTCTCTCTCTCTCTCTCTTGCCAAAGTTATGCTGTCATTCTGTGGGAAACTCTGTGGTAATTGGGATTCATGTTGATAAATATGGGTGGGCAGGAGGGTGAGTGGTAGTGAGTTCCATTATTAGGTGACTGGTACCTTACAGGCCTTTTCCACCGTGTTGTCCACCTTTAGATGGATGGATTTAGATTTTTTTTTACTTTTCAACCTCAGCCCATCAATCAGGCAACAAAGAGAGTTCAGTTTGTGGCAGATAGGTGGCGCTCTCCAGTGGAGGAAACGCTCTGGATATCTCAGTGATGCTCATGCTTCGATCATTCCAAGGATTAAAGAAAGATAGAAAGACTCGTGATACGAGGGATGTTTGATGATCTCATGTTGAAAGGAAAACAGGGAGAACAGGCTCCGTGTTCAGACTCATCAGAAATGACTGAAAGCTTCTGTCTGACCTACAATCCACAGATATTCAGTTTACTACAAAACACAAACGCCCCCTTTTGAGAAGCTGTGACCAGTGAATGCAAACTACCTAACTACCGGTTAGTCTCCTATCTTTTGACTAATCAGTTAATCGTTGCATCCGCTCATGTCTCTTAAATTGATGCCTTAATTGTGTCCGCAGGGTCCAACATTAAATGTTGTGTTTGCTTTTGTTGTTTACACTTTCCCTGAATGTTTTTAATTTCTGTCTGTCTGTGTGTGTGTGTGTGTGTGTGTGTGTGTGTGTGTGTGTGTGTGTGTGTGTGTTTGTTCATGTAACTTTAAGCAATCTGGCAGACAGAAGAGAACCCAACCATCCTGTTACTGCTCTTGTTCTATTTAAAGAAACTTACACCGAGAGCTGGTTGGCTAAAGATGCCCCAGGTCGAGAAGTCTGAGGAGCCTTGATGTTTAGGAAAATGTTTGTCAGGTATTTCTGCCTGCTGAGGTCTGTGTCATAACGTGAGGAATGTTGAGTGTGCGCTGGCTTTGCCTGCATGTGCGTGCGTGTGTACTCCTACTTCCATGGAAATCCAACACGCCCACAAACAGTCTCGTCGGAGGATTTGAATGCTGAATGACAGTGTTGGACTGAAATAAAAACCAGCAAGGCAGAGTGGAGATAACCAGACGGATGGACAGATGAATGAACAAACAGTCATTGGAGAAATGAAGCTGTGACAGGATGAACGGTGAGTGACGACTTTAAAGATACAACTGACTACCAGGGAGAGGCTGAGAGAAAACAACCGTTCAGGTTTAAAGCAAACTCCCCACCTGTGAAATTAATTTTAAGCTCCCAGAGAAGATTAAATTCTCAAAATTCAATAATGGTACTAAACATTTAGTCTTCTGGTTCTTCTTCTCTGGTGGAGAGTGTTTGCTGAGCGGTTGTTCCAGTTGATCAGCTTTAAAAATAACCTTGGATAACCCCTGGATTCAGGGGAAACCTGTTTTTGCTGTGTTGTATTTTATGCATTTTGTCGCCAACTTTGGTGAATTATTGTTTAGATGAAGTGAAGAGTGTTCCTGCATGGAGCACTGAGGAATTCATCAAATGCTCAAATAAAAATGAATATTTAAAGAAAAAGTGATCTTCTAGGGGTTTAGAATCATAAAAAGCAGAAGGTGCATTTAACGACTTCTTGTACTTTTTTCAGTAGCCTATTTACTGACTAACTTAAACAGAGTAAGAATTATAGACAAATAATCAGTGAGGAGGCCAGAGGACACGGCCGTCAGGCCATGCAGCACACCAGTGTTTGTTTAGGTTGGGAGAAATATGTGGGAATTTCACTTAAACATTCTTCACAGATGAGGAGGATGGATGTTGAAGAGATGTTGAGAGTTTTACAGGAGCAGAGTAGTAGATGTTTATTTTTATACAATAGAAGAAAACACGTTGATTTAAACTAAAACATCCACATTTTGGGAAACTATTTTCACTCTCTTGCCGAGAGTTAGACATTCAGTCGACGTATGAGGCTTTCATTTCTTCCTGTTAAACGTGTTTTTTTGAGGGTGGAAGGCGGACGGTGTGCAGATTGTAAAGTTCTTTGAGGCAAAGTTGCATTTGTGATATTGGGCTTAATGAATCAAATTGACTCGACTCAAAATGACAAAGGAGGTCTATTTTAAATGTCTATTTTAGTCTTTGCAGTAGGGGTGGGGTGCGTTTTACATATCTGTGCGCGGGAGCCCATTGTCTTAGGTCCACCCATGGTCTGAGATAGCAACAACTGAGTGCCTTTGTACAAACAAGTGTAACACACTTGACAAAAACAACAAGAAGGGACGAGCTGCTCTAACAAAATCACAGCCACCCTGAGTAAGACTTCACTGGATGTAGAAGTAGTTGGTAATCCTGGATTGGAGAGCTGGACTTTTTGACCCAAAGTCTTGATCTCATGGACAAAGCTCTAATTGGCTCAGATGTTCCTCCATCCATGGAAACAGTCGTCAACGAGCTGAACACCAGACCTGTTTAAATCAATGAAAAGTGTGGATGAAGATTCAGAAATCCTCGAAACGTGCAAGTAGACCCTTTTCCACATGCTGTAAAAATGACGCTTAAGTGTTCGAGTGGTGATAGATGACTTTATTAATTCTGGAGGGAAATTTAATTGTCACAGGAGCCAGAAATGTAAAATTACAAAAGACAACATAAATAAATGCAAATATTCAAACATTCATTATAGTCAGATGTTAAGTAAAATGTGTGCAAAGAACAAATTATTATTCTAAAAAGTAATAATGACATAGCAGTCCAGGGATATTCGTGTGTTCAGATGTGAGCAAGTGTTCCAGTCGGTGGAAGAAACACTTTTTCTTGCAGCCATAAAGTCTCAGTGACAGACGCATATAATCACAAACTGTTGAAGCAAACACATAACACTCTGTCCATCACTTGCTCTCACTTTATTAACTTGTTAAGGGATGGACAGTGTGCTGGAGGCTTTGTCTGCTTCCCACTAAAGTAAAACTTGTAATATCTCTACGGAAATACTACTGTTACAAGTAAAAATTAAACTAAAATTATATTCAAAAGTAGCAGTATGGATGTATTCTCAACAAAATATACCTTCAATTTCAAGTATTATTTAATTATTATAATTAGTGCACATGCATTTTACTATAAAGCACATTTGAGACATCTTTAATGTATTCATTTATTTTGTAGCCGGTCACTGTAACACATATAACAATGTGTTGTTGTGTAAGCATGTGCTGTTTAATAAAATGTCATAAACATCAGTTGAAATCCATATGAACACAGGAGGTCTTTGTATTTCATGCCTAACTGTAGGTCATTTTACTTTTTTTAAACAAATGATTAACAAGTTCATTACAGCAGCAACCTTCCCAGGGTAAACATTACCTCCAGGAAACACTTTGAACTGTGAACTATTGGTTACCCTCCTCTTTACAGTACTACATGTGATCTTATATTAGAATACATGAAGTGCATCATATCTCCAGTAATTTACATTTTGTTAGATAAGCAGGCAGTTAAACCGGCAACAGACTTCAGATTTACATACCGAGAACAAAAGTGGTTTGTGTTTTTCAGCAGGTCACCGTCTTGTGTTTGTATAATGAAAGCAGCTCTGTTTAAAACCGGCTGACAGGTTTGGCCTGGTTTACATACCACACACACACACACACACACACACACACACACACACACACTTTCTCACTCTCATGTTTCCATCACTTCACAGGTCGTCACATTAGGTTCTTGAGAATAAAAAGGGGAACTATTATGCTTTTCATCACCTTCACCGTCTACATGCCTTAACCATTATCCTAAACTTGACCTACTTCTACCTCTAAAATCAAGTCTTAACACTCAAGCAGCCCTTTAAACTTGTGGGTTCCAGCATTTTGGTCCCCACAAAGCTGGTCGGACCCTATGAATATAGCAAAAAATGCCCCCACACACGCAAACACCCACCAGCTTCTTGCTTGTTTGTGTTTGGTCTGAAGCGTGTTTACTTTCGGTAGGAGATCTCGGCTTTGTTTACTGAAAAGTAATGCCTGTGTCAGCCTGCAGAGTCAGCCTGTGTGTTTAACTGTACCCAGGTGTATTAGAGTCAAATATAGAGGAGCTGTTAATTGTTTTTAAGGCACTACATGGACTGGCTCCTTTTTATATTTCGGATCTCTGAACGTTTTATCACTCTTCCAGACCCCTCAGATCATCTAATCAATCCCTTTCAGCCATCTTGTATGAAAACAGGGTGATCGTGCCTTCTCCGTGGAAGCCTGGAATAAACTTCTCTTCATTATCAGATCGCCCCACACCACAGAAACCTTTAAGTCTCATCTTAAAACGCATTTTTTTATTCTTTGGCGATTAAGTTTGTTTAGGGACACCTGTGTTTATATGTAACTGTCTAGTTTTTCTATCTTTTTGTTGTGTGTTATAAATTGATTGGCCTATTTATAGTTAAAACCAACTACATGTATTTTTACAGGTTACACTTTATTTGGATAGTTTATTGAGTATTTGTAACATTTAAACAGCTTATTAGTTGTTTTTTGTTTTGTTTTGTTTATTACTTATCGTATAATTGCCCGCGACCTTGTACGCTGGTTAAGTGATGGATGGATCATATAACTGTGTTCAGCACTTTGGTCAACTCTGGTTGATTTTAAATGTGCTTTATAAATAAAATGGACTTGATTTGACTTGACTAGAGCTGGAACCAGTGCTTGAAGTGTACTAACTGATGTGCAGCCTAACAGCAATTCTACATTTTGTTTTTTGGCGTACCGTACCGGCCCTTCTCACAAGCTTCCTGTACTCTTTTCTGCCCTCTCCACAGGTGTTGACAGAGTAGGGAGAAATTTGGGTGCTTTTTTATCTAAGCGTGTGCATAAAATTGCTGATCAATGTCACTTTTGTCATTTGTGAACCGACCAATCACAGCCTGGAAGGGGCGGAGAATTTAAAAAGCGGTCACGTGCTACGGCAAACGTATAAAATGTTGAATTTGTTCTGCATGAATGGTTATGATTATTGATAAGTTAGTCTAGCATTTTTCTTGCACAAGGATTTAAAGAATTAAAACAACCCACAGAAATGAAACTGTTGTTACTGGAATCAATGTTTTAGTAGTGGAAAGATTTATAGTTAGTCATATTATCTAAAATTATAATGAATACACTAACATTTGCCATTATCAAACATTAATATCAGAAAATGGTTTTATTTGTGGAACTGTTGAATTGTTGAATCTCAACTAATAAGCTGTTTAAATGTTACAAATACTCAATAAACTATCCAAACAAAGTGTAACCTGTAAAAATACATATAGTTGGGTTTTTTTAGCTGACGCTTTTATTCAGAGACTTACAATTGCTATATATGTCAGAGGTCGCACACCTCTGGGGCAACTAGGGGTTAAGTATCTTGCTTAGGAACACATCGGTCCCGCACTGTGGATTTGAACCCGGGTGTATCACAACAAAGGCATGTGTCTTATCCTCTGCTCCATCACCACCACCCACAATACAGTAATATTATATGGACCCCTATAAGGACATTGGTAAAAAAATAAATCTGGTGCTCTTGAGATACTATCTGCTGTGTACCAGAAAGTCTCTGGAGAAACTGATACTATCTGGTGTGCTTGAGATACAATGTGGTATGCACATCGTCCATCCCCTTAGGGCTGCAAATATTGTACATTGTACACAGTGTTGTACAACAGTAAACTTTTTATTTAATGTTATAATAATATTAATAATATAAAGTTATTGTTTTAACACATATACTGGTACATACATTGGTGGAAAAGAAACTCATTGTACTTAAATACAACATTGAGTATTTTCATTTTATGCAACTTTATACTTTTTGTGCATTACAACACAGGGAAAATGTATACTTTTACCACACAACACTTATTCTACAGCTGTATTTATTAGTTACTTTACAGATTAAGATTTTACATAAAAAACGTAAGTTTACTTAATGATTGTTGAAGATTAAACTAGAAGTTTCAAACCCTTTAAAAAATAGTAGTTGTTTTCTGTATTTCTGCATAAATGTGACCTAAATGTGATCAAGGCCCTTTTAGTCTAAAGTACAGAGATTTCATGTAATTTGCTCCTACTTACAAACTATAAAAGTATAAAGACAAGTAATGAAATTTCTTAAAGCTAAGAATCACTCTTGCAGTTATTTATGACAGTTCGAGAGGTCTCTCAGGTGATTAACAGTTGCCAGTAGGGGTTTGTGATGGCACTGAGGAGACGAGCGCAAATCTTTCAGGAGAGGACGACTGTTTTTGAATTGTTTGATGTGCACAGTTAATCAAACGGTATTGTTTGGACAGAGTAGGTCTAATTTTTTTTCAGTCAGTTGCTGAGAGATGTCATCTTGCCACTGATTTTGCACTGCAATGCGTTTTTTACTGAATTGAAGGTGGTAATGACGCTTCATTTCCTTGCCAGGGTAGTTAGCGTTTCAATCTATGGGATGACATTCAGATATTATTTATATCCTGAAGACTGGAATAATTACTTTCTCTTTTTAGCGTTGTGGTAGATTTGCTAAATATTTACTTAATTTATTGCTGTACTGAAAGTTTTCATATTAGAGTTGATGGATGAGGAACTGTGTTTTTTTTAGTTGTGTTTTAAATTAACTCAATTTATGCTTACATGTTTACTGGGGTTGTTGGAATATCCTCTTGTTAGAGGTTTAATCCTTTGCTCTAAGTCATATTCCAGTTCTTGCTGCAGTTTTTTCATGTACGACGAATACGATATGATTTTACCTCTCATTACTGCTTTGCTTATTTCCAACAATGTGAAATTTCTGAAAAAATTGTTTTGATCAGTGAATAGAAATGAGTATATTTCCCATCGCATGATCAAGATCCCTTAGCACCAGTTTGTAAAGCACTGGGGGATCCCCTTAGCATCAAAGTTCAATGCACTGGGGGAAGCCCTGTAGTGTAATCAGAAACTGGACTTTTGCCCAGGAGACTGGTGTTCGTTTCAACAACAACAAAATAAAAGTCTACATTGATTGTTTTTAGTGAAGTTACTTAGGTTACGTAAGTTTTGTATGTAGTTATGTAACGTTACTTACAGTTTCATTTGACAACATTGAAGAAATGACACTTTGCTAAAGTAGTGTGTGTACATCACACAGCCGTTAATGTCTAAACTGCTGGTAACAAAAGTGAGTAAAGCCCTATGTGGTGGCAACCAATCACCTTCTCTGCAGAGCGAATGATGCGCTGCAGTCTGCCCTTGTCCCTGGCAGTGGCAGCAGCGTACCAGATGGTGATGGAGGAGGTGAGGACGAACTCAATGATGGCGCAGTAGAATCATTGTCTTTGGCAGGCTGAACTTCTTCACCTGCCGCAGGAAGTCCATCCTCTGCTGGGCCTTCTTGGTGAGGGAGGTGATGTTCACAGTGGAGACTGTGGAGTCACACAGGATGATGGGGGAGGGTGGGGCTGGGCTCTTTCAAAAGTCCACAAGCATCTCCACTGTCTTCAGAGCGTTGAGCTCCAGACTGTTCTGGCTGCACCAGGTCACCAGATGGTCAATGTCCCACCTGTAGGCGGACTCATCCCCCCCAGAGATGAGCCCAATGAGGGTGGTGATATCCGCAAAGGAGGTTGACAGACTGGTGACTGGAGGTGCAGCTGTTGGTGTACAGGGAGAAGAGCACAGCCCTGAGGTGAACTGGTGCTGATGGTCCTGGAATCAGAGACATGTTTTCCCATCTTCACGTGCTGCTTCCTGTCCGTCAGGAAGTCTGTGATCCACCTGCAGGTGGAGTCAGGCACGTTCAGCTAGGAGAGCTTGTCTTGCAGCAGAGCTGGGAAGATGGTATTGAAAGCAGAGCTGAAATCCACAAACAGGATCCTGGCGTAGGTTCCTGGTGAGTCCAGTCCAGGACAGGGATGATGGTGGAGGCTTTGAAGAAGGATGGCACATGGCATGTGTTAAAAATGTCTGTGAACCCCGGAGACAGCTGATTAGCACAGTGCTTCAGGGTGGATGGGGAGACTTTGGAGGTTTCTGCCTCCTGAACAGTCTGTTGACATCCCTCTCTGCGATAGTAAGAAAGGAGGAGGAAGTAGAGCTGTCTTTCAAAGCGACAGTAAAACTGGTTCAACTCGTTGGCATGGCGGGAGTCGTTCAAGGTGTGGGGGGCTCTAGGTTTGTAGCTGGTGATTTGTCTTAAGCCTCTCCAGACAGAAGCAGAGACATTTCTTGAGAACTGGTGTTGTACTCTCTCTGAGTACAGCTGTTTAGCATCTCGCAGCGCCTTGCTAAACCTGTACTTTGACTCCTTAAACCTGGCCTCGTCTCCACTCTTAGACGGCTCTTCCTTTTCCAAACGTGCGTGTTGATATACAGCTATCCTCAGAAGCTGATGTACGACGTCACAGCCTGACGTAAGATGTTGTAAGGGGGAACTTCCAGGCTTTAGTGTAGGCATTTTACTTCCCCTTGTAGCGATACAAGATAAATTAAGTCCCCCACTTCCCTCCTGGCTCCTGTTATCTCACCTCTTCCACTCAAGGTGGGGTAAGGTTTTGTCAAATTCAGTAAACATCTTCTCAGGGTTCGCAAACTGTCCATTCTGCGTGTGTGCTGAAAAAAATCAGGCACAGCTGTTGCTCCGTTTTCTATGGAAATAAATACACTGTTGGCCTTTCTTAAAAGAACATCAGCACATTGGTCCCAGGAGAGTTTGTGATCTATAAGAAGACCAGGACACTTACATACATCACCACCTCGATCTCTTCTCTCCTCTTATTTTAGAATGGGTGGTGTAGCATCATGTCTACAAATATAAACTCAGTTCTTTGGCTTTAGATGTGTTCGGATTCAAATGTCAGGCTTCTCACCAGTCGACAAAGTCATTTAGAACTGGACGATGTTCGACTTCATTCTGGTCCAACAGGCTGACCAAGGCGGTATCATCTGCAAACATAATTATATGGTGTACAGGGAATCTGCTACAACAACAGTCTGTGTATAAAATATATCGCAAAAGGGACAGTTTTACTGTAGTAACCTATAAATCTACTAATAAGTATCTACTTTCATAGTTTTTGTCACTGTTAATTCAAACACGGACACAGTTCAGTTCTATGGAATCCTTCAATGATAAAGTCAAAGTGCGTACAGGCTTACAGAGAATGTGAAGGCAGGCAAGGGTGAAACCGGTTAAGCAGCCAAAACATCAAACAAATCCTAAAGGGAGCTGGTAAGACACAAAAGCCAAGAAGTCCAAAGTCCAGGAGATGGTCCAAAAAACACATACCACTGGTATCCCGCTGGGACACTTGACAAAGAGAAGAAGAGGATCTGGCACAGACTGAGGAGAACAGACTAACTCAATACACAAGTGAGGAGAGGATAACAAGACACAAAAGGAAGGACACTACAAAATAAAACAAACAAAAACCCAAAACCATGACAGTATCAGTTATATGGGTTGATAAAAGTTTCTATACGCTCATGTTCAGTTTTTACTATGCACTTACTCAAAGCTGTTAAGCTCTATGGTGATAAACATCTTCTCAGGACCAGCTGTCCGTTCTGCGTGTGTGCTGAAAAAAATTAGGTACAGCTGTTGCTCCATTTTCAAGGGAAATAAATACACTGATGGTCCATCTTAAAAGGGCATCAGCACATTGGTCCCAGGAGAGTTTGTGATCTATAAGAAGGCCAAGATACTTACTTACATACATCGTCACCTCTTTGTCGTCTCCTCTGATCTTAGAGTGGGTGGTGTAGCATCACGTCCATAAATATAAACTCAGTTCTTTGGTCTTAGATGTGTTCAGATTCAAATGTCAAGCTTCACAAAGTCATTAAGAACTGGGCCATGTTGACTTCATCCTGGTCCAATAGGCTGACCACAGCGGTATCATCTGCAGTATCTGGAATAAGACACATGCCTTTGGTGTGGGAAACCCGAGTTCAATTCCCCACTGTGACACATCTACCAATGTGTCTCGAGCAAAACACTTAACCCCTAGTTGCTCCAGAGGCGTGCGACCTCTGACATATATGGCAATTGTAAGCTTGTAATTGTATCGCTTCAGCTAAATGAAATAATTGAATAAATGTTATGAGCAGCAGCAGGTGCTTTGCAGCATATCTTCTCAGGCAACAGACCCACCTTGCCTTTTGTGAAGGTTGTATCCAGCCATTATTGTGACTTATAGTGACATATTTGTGTCAATAAACTCTGTGCATTTACATGTATTCAGAGCAAATAATGTGTATTGTGATGTATTTTGTAGGACACCTGCCAACCAATCAAAGTGGCGGCAGCAACAACACCTCCGAGTTGGTGAAGTGTTTCCATAACGATGATGCGTTCAAGTACCGCGCCTACACCTTCACCTACCTGCTGCTGTTTCCTGTGGCGTTTCTCTGCAACATTGGAGCGCTGGCCGTCTTTTTCCTGCAGCGCAGCCGCAGGTAACATGTCTCTAAATCTTTGTGAGGTTCCTTCACTGACTTCATTTTCAACCTTCAACATCATCTCTGGGTTTCACCAGCTGTGTGTGTAAGTTCTCTCCTAAGTTTGGTCGTAAAGTCGACACTGGAGGCTTAGTAACAACTAGTTAGTTTGTAACTAAATCAGCTACTAAAATTGGTTGTATCACCCTTTTTTCAGATCTATTTCACTTTGTTGTGTTTTTCTTGTTTTCAGTGAAGTAGAAAGGCACAAAGCAAAAAATAAACTCAAATAATAAAGCATGGGCAATTGAAGCAAAATAAAATGTGGGTGGGTCCTTCCCCAGAAATTTTTTTTACTGGTGTAGATACCAGTTACTGTTACCCTTTAATTTAATTAATTGCTTTTACAACCTAAAACAGTTACCACATACCTAGCAGGGTTTCCCAATTAACACAGCAACAAAAGTCAGGGTGTGGTGGTTAATTTCTTGGGAAAGACTGACAACAGCTTCTTCCACCTATCCTTCGACTAGCATGCTTTCCAATTTGTTCTACTGCATTTCCTGTGTAGCGAGGAGGTCTCTGGATTTCCGGCTTCTGGATGGTCTCAATGCCCAGCTCAGTGAGAGGTTGCTTCTCTTGGAGCACTGCCTGAACTTCTAGCCATGGTCCTCAGAGAGCTTTCAAAGCATCAGAGAGATCTCATTGTTGAAAGACATACTGTAAGTCAGGAGACGGGTACAAAAGAATTTCCATGGAACACAGTGAAGACAGTCATCATCAAGTGGAGAAAACATGGCACAACTGTGACTTTACCAAGAACTGGACGTCCCTCCAAAATGGATGAAAAGACGAAAAGGAAACAGTCAGGGAGGCTTCCAAGAGGCTTACAGCAACATTAAAGGAACTGCAGGAATTTCAGGGAGGTGCTGGCTGTGTGGTACATGTGACAACTATCTCCCGTATTCTTCATATGAATGGGGTAGGGTGGCGAGACGGAAGTTTGCAAAAACAAACATCAAGTCCCCCAAAAGCATGTGGGAAAATGTGAAGAGGAAGTTCACCTTTCAGCACGACAACGACCCAAAGCACACATCCAAATCCACAGAAGCATGGCTTCACCAGAAGAAGATTAATGTTTTGGAATGGCCCAGCCAGAGCGAAGACCTGAATCCAATTGAACATCTGTGGGGTGATCTGAAGAGGGCTGTGCACCGGCGATGTCCTCGCAATGTGACAGATTTGTAGCGCTTTTGCAAAGAAGAGTGGGCAAATATTGCCACATCAAGATGTGCCATGCTAATAGACTCCTACCCAAAAAGACTGACTGCTGTAATAAAGTCAAAAGGTGCTTCAACAAATTATTAATCTAAGGGTTTGCACACTTATGCAACCAGGTTATTTGAGGTTTTTTATTTTTCTAGTGTTTTTCTATTGAATTGTTCACATAATAGGTCACATTAAAGGTGGGAAAAGTTCTGACATGATTTATCTTTGTCTCATTATTTTACATCATAAGAACCTGGCATTTTAACAGGGCTGTGTAGACTTTTTCTATCCACTGTAATTTTTCCTAACAATGACGTTCCGCCATGAGATTGAAAATCTCATTTTTAATTTCAGCGCTGGTGTAATTGTTGGTGGGCGTTAAGCACATCGTCATCCTCTGTTCTCAGTTGCAGAAGTTGCTTTACATTCCCTTCATCAGTACCATGGAGAGCTAGACTTTGGTGGGCAAGAAATCATATTGACTTTCTTATTTTGAACATTATGATCCAGCCTCTCCCTCTACTCCTTCACTGTGTGTAGCCGTGTATCATTGCTTCTTTTTTCTTTGAGGTATGTTCTTATCACCACTTTATGACCTTGACACAGCTGGTAAATTTGTCGTTGGCTTTTTTCCAATTTTGAAACCAGTTGAGACAAAAGCTGGATCCATGTTTTTTGTTGTAGTGCTGTTCTGTCGTTAGAAGGGTTGCATGCAATGAAAGCAAAAAAATGCCTTTGGCACTGGGAGAATAATGAAGCCAAGGCTTTTCCTTGAACCTCTTCTCCTGAAACCTTCGTGTCTTATGTGGAAGTTGCTGGTTTGCAATGACTGTTGGGTCAGGCTGGTTCATCTTGTTAAACATGGGTTGTTAAACATCTTGGCTCTCACTCCCTTCTCTACCTTATCTTGTGCCTTCTTCCTTTCCTTTCTCTGACTCTGGCTCCTGACTTATTTTGCTGGTGTGTGTCTCTCTCTCTCTCTATATATATATATTTATTTATTTATTGGCATTGAGAGGCTGCAGTATTTGTTTGCAGTTTGTCTGATTCTTGACTTCTTCTGTGAGGTTATTGTTCCAAAACCTTTAAAACGACATGACTCAGCCTTTGAACAAGGGGCGAGCACTTTATTAATTGAGCTTACTAGCCCCCCTTGTAGATCCTTTCCAATTTTAGTAATATATCAAGTAATGTAACTAATTACTTTTGATACCAAGTGATATGTAAATAAATATTACTACTTTTTAAAGGTGTAATAAGCAGAGATTCTCACAAGTCTTTGAGCTAGAGTCTCTTATGGTTATTACGAATGTTGTATCTGCTGCTGCGTTCAATCCAGGCTGCTTATAAAACTGCAGAGCTATGAGGAATACTGTAACTGTAACCTGCTTTTCATTTACAGAGTACAACCATGTAATGTGCATTGCAATTAATGACAGCTTAACTACTGAAAGTCAACACACCCTGCAGACTCTCAAACCAGTGTAACGTTATAACTAAATAAAACTGTAACGTTAAATGATCAACAATAAACCTGTAACCTGTTTGCAGGTTATTAATTAAAGTGATGGCAGCCAGCGGGACGTAAATGATTACGTTATTAAGTGAACAAACGCTCATTCATCTTTTCATAATGAACGACAGTCAGAGTTAACCTCAGGTAGATCGTAGCTGAAGCAAGAAGCAAGCTAACGTTAGATGGCCAATTGCTGAGCTAAACATGTTTACTAACCGCAGGTTACTAACCTATTTTGCTTTCAGTGCTTTGTTTGGGTCTTGTTGTTTGAAGTTTTAAAGCCAAAGTTTATGATGAATGGCTCAGCAGCTGCCGGTGTTTGTTGTCCTCTCATCTGTGGCCGCACGCAACAGATACTACGTGTTACGTAGGCAGGTTATAGGTAATGCAGGGAGGGGAATAACAGCAAGCTCATCAGACGTAAAAATAAACATTGTTCACGATTCCTGCACCTCGAGTCCGAGTCGAGTCTGAAGTCTGTGGAGGACGAGTCTCACGACTGAAGTCACTATGTGTGCGACTTAAGTCAAACTCGCGTCCCCACCTCTGGTAATAAGTAAAAAGTAACTTATAAGGTCTTAATAGTTTTGAACCACCTTCCCTGTCATACTTGGATCGGACCAGGAACATCTCTACTTTCCAAACAAATACAATTCACCTGACATCAAACGCAGACAGTCGAGTTGGCAGGATGATTTCAGTGGAGTGTAATGATTTGCTCACAGGCAGGTACAGGCAGGCAGGCTGAAGTGGAAGCAGCCATCTGAGTTGCTACAGATTATTCCTTCGAGCCACGGCAAGGGAGTCTCAAAAAAGCCACTCACAAATCTCACAGTGAAGTTCACAAGTGACACAGGCTTGTAACAACATCCAAATATGTTTTTCAAGACTTTTCATTGCCTTCTGAAATCTGTTTAAACATATGCTCGATGTTACAGTCACTGTCGTTGCCGTCCAGAATAGCAGAGAACATCCTGGTGAAGGGGTGTATTAAACCTGGGGGGGGGGTGGCTTTCCGACCACTCTGCTTATGATTTGCTGGCAGAGGAGAACGGGGGATGGTTGTAACACGGGGCTATTCTAACACATCCATTGTCTCCAATCACCTGATTCACTCTGCACAAGCTCAGTTTATTCCTTTTTCCACATGGGAAAAAGTAGCACCCTGAGTGCATGTAATGTTTAATTGTTTTATTATTATGTTCAGACATTAGTGTAAGACCTGTAGGCTTCTCTGAGGGCCCGTGAGGCCTCCAGGAGAGCCACATGTCTGTCACCACTGTGATGGTGCAAGACAAACATAAACAAACACACACACACACACACTAATATTCAGTTACTGCACATCTGCACACACAGACCATTTATGTTAAAAAATAATGATGAAAAAAAAGCTTTCAATATCATTTTCCTTATTGCATAATGTTACATTTCACCACCATGTTACAGCTAACACAGACTATGGGGTGGACTGTAACGTTTGACTCCTTGTGTTTGAGGCTAGATGTATTTGCAGAGATGACAGTTACACCATTTAATAGCAGACACATGTAACTAGTTTGTATTTTGAACACTGTCTTAAAAGAGCTCCGAGTTACAGACAGAAATGTCAAAAATGTTACAACCATCTTCGGTCTCTCCTACTCGTTGCCTCTGTTGGTTAAGGGTAGAGAGTTCGGGTGGGTAAAGGTGAGCCAGTCAGAGGCAGAGTAGGAAGGGGGGTGAGGGGCAGCACAAAAAACAATGACGCAGAGACAAACTGTAGCAAAACGGTGCACATTGAACGGTTCAGATTGAACGTGCCCCAGGTGTGTGGACGGGTGGGGCAGCCAGGTGACGGGGAAAGAAGGGAAAGTCCGAGGGCATCTGGTGGGTGGATGGAAAATGGCAAAGGAGGAGAGTGGGAAATTAGTAAAGTGGCTGGAGAGGATGAACAGAGACACTGCTCACTGTTGCTTATTTTGTGACCCTTCGTGGTATTTGCTTACCACAGTGCATACAAATCAGGCACACAGGGATGTGAACACGGAGCTTCCTTATGTTCTATGCAAACATCACATTATACCACGATTGACAGTGGGACTCGTCAGCAGCACAGGTGTGTGAGTGCCTGAAATATCGATAAACAATGATCCGTTTGCTGAAATGAAAAAGAAAGTAAGGATCTCCAGTCCAGGATGGTGCCGTCAAAAACACCCACATGGACACCACAAAGCTGCGAGTGAGATATCTGTGGAGCTACAACAAAAACCGGCTGCAGCCTGTAGCTTTCATTCAATGATGTGACCGGACGCTGCTTTGGCTTTTAAACAAAAACACCTTTTTGTCTATTTCAGTGAGGTGCAGGTGAACCTTCCACGCTGACGCCCTCTCTCAAAGTGAGCACAGAAGTAGAGTTAATAACTACTATTACTATTAATAACTTAATAACTGGATCATAAAACCCGGTCTCAGAACAGAAATAACAGTGACCCTAAGTAACCAATCATGTGCAAGGACATGTTGTCAAGGGGTGCTGAGTGCAGAGGCAGGAAAACTAGGCGGTTGGACCCAGACACTGACAAGCAAGATTCAGTTCTTGTGATTTATTAAATAAACTAAACAGGCTTATGTGATCAGAAGTCCAAACAAAGGTTGTAGTCCAGACTTAATCCAAGAGTGAGCAGAGTAATCCAAGAAAAACAAGGACACTCAACGTACAACGAGGACGCAACAAAGACTGAACAGAACTGGGGGCTTAAATACTGACACAGGGCAACATTAGCTCAGTCTGCTGGGACTTGGCTTGGAAATCGATGGGTCGCCAGATTGAGTCCAGCACAAACACAATGCCGATGGTGTGCCTCGGGGATCAAAAAAGTATTTCTGATTCTGAGAAACACACACGTTAGGGCAATAAGGACTGGAACAGATGCAAAATAAAACACAAACCAGGACATGACCAAAAACAGAAACTACAGAACCCAAACCAGCCTTAGCCGAGAATTAAACAGGAGCTAATGACACACGAACCGTGACACATGTTTGTTAATAGTTGCAGGTGCAGGTTTCTGTGTTTACGGACATGTACTTCATAATTAACTATTTTATTAAGAGATAAAGTAACTGCACACAATCTGCTGTAAATATTTACATTGGAACCTCTAAAAGCTCATCTGATCAAACCTTTAACCTTTAATAGCAATATAAACATAAAACCCAGAATGTTTTCCTACATGTGTTTGGCCTCTCACTGGGAATACTGATTAGATAACGACAATGAAAGATGAATCCAGGTTGTAAACCTGCATGTAGCATTGATATATGTTGGAAATATTGACGTCTATATAGTCAACATCCTATTCAAATAAAGGCTACAATCTACAAAGCTACATTTTGTCCAGTTTGATCAGACGGCTAACTGGACGTCTTATCTGTCCTGTGCTGTTATCAGCTGCTCCAACAAATAACATAAAATAAAAAACACAAACCCCTTCTTCAGATCTTATAATCTCCTTTTAATCCTCATGTTTCAATTGCAATATGTGTATTTCTGATTTCTACAATGCAAACATCTGTGCTTTCTCTGTCAGTGTAAATGGATTCAGTTTCACTCTTGACGCCGCAGAAAGAGGCAGCACAGCGCATTAAGATGCTGCTGGAGACGTCTATAATATAAGCAATCGGGGCCTTGATCAATCATTACAGATACCCTTAATACCTTCACAACATGTAAACATCAGGATGCTTTATGTGGATTTCCCTTCAGGTAGAAAAGCTTTAATCTGTCCTACAACACTTTCCCCAGATCACAGCAGCACCTAGAGGCCGTTAAAGGAAATGCAGCTCAATACACTTTTTATAACTAAAGCAATATTATGAAGCTGCAGTACTGGAGGCTGCCGTTTCAGGACCCCCGCAATCCTGGGACCCTAGTTCTAGGACCGTAATTCTTTTTTGCGACAGCGCCATCTAGTGGAGTGGTGGTGGTAATGCACAGCAACATGAAGGAGGTTAACCCTGCCTGCTAGCACGTCGGCCGTGAGGCGCAGCTGTAGGGTTAGCCGGTCGACATGCATATAATCAATAACTTAGGTTTAGGCACACACTCGGTGTGGTTGTGGTAAGGGTAATTGGCTGCGGGGGGCTGTCAAGAGTAACATAGCAAGCTAGCTAGTTAGCTAGCCAGTCAGCTGACAGTATCAAAGTAAACAAGGGTCCTAGAAATGCAGTCCTAGGATTGCGGTCCAGCTACATGCTACTCAACTAAAGATCCTTTCAAGTTCTCAGATAAAACATGGCCGCTCTGACTCTCTTTTCATGTTTCCCGTCCAGAAACTCCGCCTCCTGTGTGGTCATGATGAACCTCGCCTTATCAGACGGCAGCTTCTCTCTCACCCTCCCACTGCGATTGGCGTATTACTTCAGGGGTGGGGTGTGGGACTTCCCTGATTGGCTGTGCCGACTGTTCGTCTACGGCTTCTACGTCAACCTGTACACGAGGTAACTAACACACACACACACACACACACACATATGATGATGAAAAGATAAAATCACTGACTTGACACTCTTCCTCTCTCAGTATCCTCTTCCTCACTCTGCTGAGCGTGCTCCGTTGGCTCGCCGTGTCCCGGCCCCTGCGTCACCGCGTTCTAGCCACGCCCACTCGGATCTTGTTTGTGTGTTTGGGTGTCTGGGTGTTTGTGGGCTTGGCCTCCGCCCCCTTCCTGTCCAATGGGGTGACAAACAGGTGAGGTCGACATTAGTAGACATTATTTTATCTTTTAAAGGTTTTCATTGTTTATATCTTTTAAAAGGCTCTGTCAAACTGAGTCGCTGCTGTTGCTACTATCACTTTTATCTCTTATTTTATTTTTAAAATGATATCTTTTTAATTCCATTTACTTACTTTTATTTCATATTATTATTTTATTTGTAAAATACTTTAATATATCTAAATTGGATATAATAATAATACAGTTAGTTTCCTTTTTGTAAACATGACCTTTTTATCTTTGTAGCTTTTTTCATTTAAAGAATTTAATTATACATTTTACTTACGGACTTACGAACTTAACGTCGTAAAAAAACAGCCAAGAGCACCGATGACCCAAGCGGTATCGATCGTCTTGGCAACGACCCCGCAGAGGTTAAATAGCTCCTTGCCGTTCAGTCAGAAATGAAGAAGCCTCTTGGATGAAGGAGAAACATCTTTGAATATCTTTAAACAAGTCCATTTTAACTTTCCTTGGTTAACTTTGTAATTTATGTGACTTTAAAAACATTATAAATACATCAAGTACTGGAGTCTTTCTAAATGTATTCAATTATTTTAACTTTTTATTAAAATCATCTTGCATAGATGTTTTTTTCCCCCGCTTTTTGTTTTAGTCTTCAAAACCATCTTCATGATGAAGACAAAGCAGTTAAAGCAGTTTGGAGTGTTTCCTTCCAGGCAGCCGCTGGTTTCATTGATGCGTTCTGTTAACATTGGAAAGGTTGTTAAGCTCTCTGTGTGGAAACGGTCCTGCTTGCTCTGGGCGTGAAGATCCTGCTGCTTTGAACACGATAAGATGACTGAAACAGAACAAATAGAATAATTACTTTTACTGGAGTACATTTTAATGGTCTGAAGAGCTAAAAAGAAAGGCCGCGTAAACGTGGAGCCTGTTCGAATGTGTTTCATTAAACAGCAGTGTTTCATATTTGTGATCATCCTGCGGTTTAATGTCAGACGGAGGTTCGTGTGTATTCAAAGTGTCATTTTCTGTGTATTTATTGTGATGGATGTCAGCTGCTGCAGCCCTCACTGTAAATACAGAGTCAAACCCACAAGTGCTGCAGCAGAGGGCTGTCATGAGAGATTAATAATGATCTTAAGAAACTTCCTTTGTTTTTCAGATAACTAACATCATTTTAAAAAGTGAAGTTACCACGTGTCTCCGAACAGCCCATTCTCATTCACAGAGTGTCAAATAGCTACGTTTTGAAACGTTATGGTACCAACGCACATGGCAGGCTTTCCCTTCATAGTTCAACACACTGGGGGAAGGTATTAAAGTATTAATGTACTAGAAGTATTACTGCTATAAATAACAGAAAAGTCCATATAAGAAGGTGTTCGAGGTGGTCAGTGTTGTAATGTATTGCTTTTTGCTGTAACGCAGTAATATAACGCATTATTAAAAGAAAATCTGTAACATTATACAATCTCAGTAACGCGTTACAACACACTTTAACACAAAATTAAGTGGTGTTTTGTTTTCTTAATAATTCACCAACACAGAGAAACATTTCGACACCAGAAAAACAAATCCATGAGTAAAAGAGTAACGTTATTTGCTGTTGCGGGAATCCGTCGGTCGACATTGTAGGCAGGGTGCAGGGTGAGCTCGGCTCCTCTTAACAAGACAGTTGCTCCCCTGATGGATCATGTGTAAATAGATTTCTGTAGCCCAGGTGTTTGTGCTTTAACGATTTACTTTCATGATCAGAGAGGCTGACGTCAGTGTCGGGAGATCCAAATAATCAACGATGTAAAGGCTCATTTATACTCCTGCGTATGGTCTACGTGCGTACCTACGCCATAGGCTACGCACGTAGCCATGGGTTTATACTTGAGCGTAGGTGTCGCTGTTATTCTGCGATTACACCCCCAAACACTAGTCGGCAGTAGCGCTGCAGCGTCCACCGTGTTGACTTTTGCCAGCCGAGCAGGCTAATGTCCGGTTTAGCGCTCCGCTAACGTAAATGGGGGTAAAATTGTATAAGTGCAGCTGGTGTAGCCTTTTCAAATGTTACCGACCGAATGGATCACATTCTGATAGCGAAACGAGTCATTTCGCTCGGGTTGCGACAGTCAAATATGTTGATTCACCGTGTTACAGCCGCCGTTTTGGCTGCTAGTATAAGTTACTTCAAAGCGCTGGATACTTCCGGTCGGCTCGGAGGCATTGCGAGGCTACCCAGCCGACCAATCACAGAGCTTACGGTCCGCGTCGACTCGACGTGTAGTTACATTTTTGAGGAGGTGCATGTCAGGAGCCGGCGTGGCCTCTGCGTAGCCCTGTAGCGTACTCCGTCGATTCGACGCACAAGTATAAATTACCCTTCATGCTGCTGTACCGCGTGCGTAAATGCGCACAGCGTCTTTTTTCATGCTATTTTAAATTAAATTTGGGGACCCCTCTCTTTTCATCTGGTGCCACCATCATAATCTGAACCCAGTCCCGTGTCTCTGTCTAGTGGGTTAAGTGTCTCGTCACAGCGCTAGTATTGAACATTGATTTGTAAGTGGTGGTTCATTTATTTGCTTGTTTTTCTGTTTTCCCTTTTAGGGCGGGGTTTCCTCGTTGCTTTGAGCCATCTAACCCCTCCTCTTGGGGGCGTCTCCTGGTCCTAAACTACGTGGCGCTGACTTTTGGCTTCCTCCTGCCTTTCCTAACGATCATTATTTGCTACAGCAAACTCGTCAAACGCCTGAGAGCCCGCTCCAACCTCCACGGCAGCAGTCTGTCCAGAAGCCATCGTTGTCGCAACAAACAACGCTCCGTGTACCTGGTCACCATGGTGACGGCGACCTTCCTGCTCTGCTTCCTGCCATATCACGTGATTCGATCTCTGCACCTGCACGCCGTGTGTAACAGTTGGAAGTGTGACGTCATTGTGGCGCTGCAGCGTGCAGTGGTGGTGACGCTGTGTCTGGCGGCGTCCAACAGCGTGGTGAACCCACTGCTGTATTACTACTCCACCAGGAAGTTCAGAGACAACATGAGGGACGCTCAATCCTCTCTGTCCAGCAAGGGGGAGTCCTTCAAGTCGGGACTGGCTATGATAAGGAGAAGAAGCACCGCCTGAGAGACCTGAGTCAGCTCTGCTGTCAAAAAACTTCCTCCTTACTTTATAAAATCTTCTGCTTCATGTCAATGAAAACACCACAAAGAGGGTATTTAAATCGGTGGGGCAGCACTTTTATATTATTTATTTTAGTGAAAATAAATATTTATAGCATTCTTCTACAAGTAAAGGAATTACTTTTCCTACTTTCAATAGAAGAAAATAAAGTGAAGCACAAAACTGAAATCTCTGGCAGCTCTGCAGACTGTGGTCATTCAGGAGCGTCCAAGAGTCTGTGAGGAGGTTCATGTGTTGTTGAGAAGGGAACGGATGTCACTGGGCAGGATAGTGGAGTCAATGGAGTCCATACTCTTTTCTTTAAACAACCTCCTTCACGTCACTTATTACGAAGTTCCTAATGTTCAGTTTTTGCTTCACAGCTTTAGTTTCAAACTTTCGGAGCTGTTAATAAAACTAGAGGTTCATCATGGAGGCCATTGTAGGTGTCATTGAGGGGGGTCCAAGAGTCTGTGAGGAGGTTCGTGTAGGATAGTGGAGTCACTGAGGAGGGTCCAAGTTTCAGTGAGAAGGGTCCATATATGGTTTGGGAGGATCCAGGTATTAAGGGGAGTCCATGGGATGCTGAGGAGTACAGAAGCTGTTAAGCAGGCCCGGCAGTTGTTGAGGAGGGTTCAGGTGTCTCAATGAGGTCAAGGGGTTATTGAAGAGTCCGGGTGTTGTTGAGGAGTCTGAACATCATTGAAGAGGGTTCTAGGGTAAACTGAGGAGTCATGGTGTCATTGAGGAATCAAGGGTCAAGATGTTGCAGCCTTATTTGAAAATGTAGTCAATGTTTTTGCCAACTCGTGACAAGTGTGGTTTTATACGAGCGGTAAGACAAATATTATGTGACTGGAGAAATGTGATTCAGGATGAGTCATCCAAACTTGTTTAACAGGAATATGGAAAGAGGAAGTTTCTATAAATACTCATAAAAAACAATTAACACAGAGAATGGGGAAAATACATTTTATAAATTTCATTTCCCTGTGTAGTCTACAACTCTTTTAGTGTGTCTGAAGTTCATGTAACAGCGCCCTCTGCAGGTTTTGCACTAAAGATTGACCTGCCTGATTTTCTTTGATACGAGTGACTGAAGGTACACTGTAAGCCTGGTGATATTCAATATATTTCTTCTTGTTCAGACTCAAACCAGCTCACAGAGCTCTGTCGTTGTTTCAGGAAGCTACTGAGCATTTTTTTTAAAGTTAAGCTATATAGTTAAAACTAACAAGGTGTCTTTAAGGAGTATGTGAGATTTGTGTGTGTTTGTATGTAAATGGTTGTTTTATCACATGATAAACGTATGATGTGTTTTCCAGTGAAGGATATTGTTTACATGTTTCTTTGTTTTTTTGAATAATCCTAATAAGTTTCAGTCACGTAGACCGGAAAAATCTTCTAATAAATGTCACACAGGAAACATCTCCTCTCTTCTCTCCATTCACACTGAATAATGTTGTTTACATTTACAGAAATGAAAACATTCAGCGGTTACTGGGTCATTTTCTCTAGAAGATGTCAAATCCTGAGGAGGGTCTCTTGAGGAGGAGAAAGTTTATAAAGCCATGGGAGCTTTCCAGTTAACCTCTCCCACTGCATGATGCATCTCAACTGTCAAATGTGTACAAATATCTCAGCAATGGTTTAAAAGAAAAACACCTGATGACTCAAGTACTGTTCTTTATCCTGCATAGAACAAAATGGTTGTATTTTGAAAATGAGTCATCAGACTGCTCCGCCAAGAAAGTAGTCTAAACTGAAGTAGTCCATGTCCATGGGGTCCGCAGCTGTCCGTGTATGCGTCCGATTTAAAGAATATTTGAGGCTTAAGGAGGGTGGTGGGGTGGATGGATGTGTGGAGGTGGTAATGTTGAATGCTTGTCATAAAATGCAAGATAAAATGTTCCTTTATGTGTTGAGAAAATCCTCTAAGCTTAATAAACTATATAAAGCCCTTGGATCAGCTGGAAAATGCATCGTGACAAAACTGAAAACACAGCAGTGACTTTTTGAGCAACACAGTCTCACTGTTTTTCTCTTTGTTTTTTATTTATTTGTAAGGACACATTAATCGACATTACTGTAGATGTGCCAGTGTTTTAACTTTCTACTGCAGTGCTTCAGCAAGATGTTCAGAAACCTTTAAAATTATAAAAATGTACAGAACAAAACCATAAAGACAGCAACAAAACACAAATTCTCAAAACAGAACATGAGCCATGCGGAGCAAGTGGAAACAGTAAAACATCAGTACGATAATACAGTGACAACAAACTCCCTTTAGACTCTGAGAGCTGTTGTGGAAATTGTATATTGCTGGTGAGCGATTAAGTTCATTCATTCAACCAACAAGAAGCAACAACACACAACCTACTTTTGTTTCTTTAATATATATATATATATTATGTTTATCTGACTAAAAAGATGCATTAAGGGTTGATAAAATGGTAATATACATGTGACACATAACAGCACTGTAGAAGAACTCGTCAGACTGCTAATAAATACTAGAAGATACTCCATATATACCCAAGCCATGCAAAGCTGGCCATGTTAGCAGCAAGTTATATAACAACGGTTATAATAAAATGCGCAATGTACTATTTAGTTTAGAAATGTTCACATGTTTGACTTTTCAAAAGCCAGGCCTTGAGACTTTCTGAGACGGTATGGTAGGTTTTGCAGTTTCTTATTCCAGTTGTTGGGTTGTTCCACAATTGAAAAGCTCTTACAGAAAAGCAGGATTGGCTGAAGGAGCTGGACCTGAAAGGGATCACACTCTCCCCTCTCAGAGCAGATCTGCTGGTTGGATTTTTCTGCTTAATAAAAGTACCAATGGGTGGAACAGCAGACAGATGTCAGTTTATTTTATTAGATTTTCCCAGTTAGATATTGTAGAGGTGGTAAGTATTGGGGTTTTTGGTCTAACACTTTGTGAGCCTGCCAATAAATGTGCAACTCTTTCAAAATAAAACTAGCTAATGTTGTGAAATGGCACAATTTGGTTAGGTTTAGAAAAGAAATCATGGTTTGGCTTAAAATGACAACGTTACTTATGTGCCTTATGTTATGTAAGCGAAGTAATGTTACTTGTGCCTTATGTTATGTAAGCGAAGTAATGTTACTTGTGCCTTATGTTATGTAAGCTAAGTAATGTTACTTGTGCCTTATGTTATGTAAGCTAAGTAATGTTACTTGTGCCTTATGTTATGTAAGCTAAGTAATGTTACTTGTGCCTTATGTTATGTAAGCTAAGTAATGTTACTTGTGCCTTATGTTATGTAAGCGAAGTAATGTTACTTGTGCCTTATGTTATGTAAGCGAAGTAATGTTACTTGTGCCTTATGTTATGTAAGCTAAGTAATGTTACTTGCGTAACTTACCCGACCTACATAACGTAAATAAAAACATTAAATGTTTACTTTGTGTTTCACATGGGAAAACAAACATCTCCTGGGTGAAAGTCTGGTTTCTGGTCCACCCCTCCGCCCAAACCACCTCCTTACTCTGACTTTTAGCGTTCATAAACGACGCTACAGGGCTTCCACCAGTGCATCTATACGACATGGGAGTGAGAACGGGTTGTTTAGAGCATTGGTTCTCAAAGTGGGGTCCGGGGACCACCAGGGGTCCTTGAGGGGGTTCCAGGGGTTCCCCAGCAAAAAGGGGAATACTTGATTTTCATTATAATTCTATTCATAAGTAGCACAGTGACAGATTGTATGACTATTTTGGTCACGGGTTTCATATACTTTTGTAATAAAACATCTAAAAGCAAACATCCTATCAGATGGGGGACACTGGGACAAACATCCTATCAAATGGGGGACACTGGGACAAACATCCTATCAGATGGGGGACACTGGGACAAACTCTTATCAGATGGGGGACCCTGGGACAAACTCTTATCAGATGGGGGACCCTGGGACAAACATCCTATCAGATGGGGGACACTGGGACAAACTCTTATCAGATGGGGGACCCTGGGACAAAATCTTATCAGATGGGGGACCCTGGGACAAACTCTTATCAGATGGGGGACCGTGGGACAAAATCTTATCAGATGGGGGACCCTGGGACAAACATCCTATCAGATGGGGGACCCTGGGACAAACATCCTATCAGATGGGGGACCCTGGGACAAAATCTTATCAGATGGGGGACCCTGGGACAAACATCCTATCAGATGGGGGACCCTGGGACAAAATCTTATCAGATGGGGGACCCTGGGACAAAATCTTATCAGATGGGGGACCCTGGGACAAACATCCTATCAGATGGGGGACCCTGGGACAAAATCTTATCAGATGGGGGACCCTGGGACAAACTCTTATCAGATGGGGGACCGTGGGACAAAATCTTATCAGATGGGGGACCCTGGGACAAACATCCTATCAGATGGGGGACCCTGGGACAAAATCTTATCAGATGGGGGACCCTGGGACAAACTCTTATCAGATGGGGGACCCTGGGACAAAATCTTATCAGATGGGGGACCCAGGGACAAACTCTTATCAGATGGGGGTCCGTGGTCTAATTTGTGTTAGTTTAGGGGTCCCTGATATGAAAAAGTTTGAGAACCACTGGTTCAGAGATACAGTTGGTGGTTCTCACAGGATAGAAACAGTACAAACACATGATCTTATAGACCATGATGCATTGCTGCAGATTAAACTACCCAACAGGATCTCAAGGATTTAGAAACATCTACGGCAGTAAAATACAACATTAATGCAGCAGAAGATTAATCCAGAAACATCAGATATAATAGAGAAACAGTGACAGGAACATTTAAGAGTGCTTTTACTTTGATACTTTAAGTACATTTTGCTCATAATACATACATACTTTTACTTTCACAATGTGGTATTAGTACTTTTACTTAAGTAAAGTATTATGATTACTGCACCAGTATTGGTTGTATTCCATAATGCTGCAATGTGCAGTAGTGTCCAGCAGAGGGGGGCCGCAGGTCTGTCTGTCTCTGCTCGACACACTGAACCCTCACACACTTTCTATTAATATCACAGAGCTATGAATTGTGGGTAATTCATTGAAACTTGCAGGAGCCATGGAAACATGTTTTATGTCCCGCAGCTTCCATCTTCTTTTTAATGCACATTTAATTTGTCTTCTTCTCTGCACCATCGTCATCCTCTGACCCTGCATCAGTGGTGGAAAGTATTCAAGTACTGTATGAAAGTACACTTTTGAGGTACTTAACTTGAATATTTGCATTTTCTGATACTTCATATTTTTCCACTATACCTCAGAGAAATCTTGTACTTTTACTTCACTACATTTAATTGATAACTTAAGTTAGTTTGCAGATTCAGATTATCAATAAATAATAAATTATTAAATATTATTATAGATTAAAGTAGTAACTTTACAAATGAAAATTGTTTTCACACAAAACGAAAATGAAGAGTTTATAAAATATGGTGTTTTGTTACCATTAATTAAACTTCCCAACAAGTACAGCTGAAACTCTTAGTTGATTAATCAATTAGTCATTTGACAGAAAATTTATTGTCCATTATTTTAACAGTTAAAGTTATTTTTCCTGTAAAAACATTTCATGGTTCCAGCTGGTTTTCCTTTAAATCATCTTACTAATATTTCACTTATTGATAGTTTTCTGGTACACAATATAAATCCTCCACACCAGACTCCACTACTGCAAATTATTATTTTAAATAAGTTTAATGTTTGTTAATATGGTTGAGTGAAGGTGTCACTTTGGGCTCCGGGTAACCGGGACGGCATTTCCGACCATTTTTACAAACCAATCAATCCATCAATTAATGATGAAAAATAATCTGCAGAATTATCCAGAAAGAATGTAATAATTGAAAACTGCTTAACAGCCTGAACAAAGTCATACAACAGCGCCCCCCGGCGGCCACACGTAACACTAAACCACAGGAGGAAATCCTTCCTGAGGGAGACACGAGGAGGTCAAAGGTCGATCAGCGTTCAGCAACAATCATCACGAGGACACAAACTGAAACCTACTTTGTAGTTTGTTTTTGCTACGTTTTAAACAAATACTGCTCTCCTTTTTTACCGTGTGTGTGTGTATTTTGTGTTTCCTGACTTCCAGGTGTTTCCTGACCCCACCCTCTCTCTGGGTTAATACGCACACACAGCCAGAAACTCGTGATGTTTGACGGTGACTAAACACACAGACAGAAACTGAGGCGATGAAAACTTATTTACCTAACAGACAGATTGTTGTTCTGGCTGTATGAAAATTATTATTGCCAGTTAATTAGGACGATAAAATTAATGCAGTTTAATCTTGCAATAAATCCTCCTTCGTGATGTTTAAAATATTCAGCTTGTTTTGTAGTTTGTGCTGCTGTTATACTTGTTTGCATTATACAGAGAGATTTTTCTGCCTCTCCTCGTTTAATATGAACATTTTTACAGCCCTGTGTTTGTTTACATTCTGTCAGACCGGTATCATTAAAAATAGCTGAATTAGCTGTTAGCTGCTCCTGTTTGCAGTGTGAATGTGCAGATAACTGTCGCTGGATTACTCTGATGCTGAAGTAATGTTTAAAACACACAATAATTCTTAGGCAGTTCTGTAAAGGAGAGTCATTTCAGTATGATTTCTTAGAGGATTTACAGACGTGTATTCATGACGGGCGTAAAAATAATAATATTGTGTGTAAGTTAAAGTCACCCTGAGTCTAAAAAATGTGTTTATCATGTTTGAGTGTTCACATTTGGCTGAGATATGACGTCTACGTCGCCAACAGAACGCATTTTTGTGGATGTAACTATTTTGATGGAATTGTTGAGTTAATTTTGCATAAAAATGTAAAAGAAAAAAGAAAATAAATAAAGACTATTAAAATACTGTCTCTACAGCGAAAAGGAAGAAAGGTAAAGCTCAGCCTCTTACTGAGATTTAGTTCTGCATCACAGCTGATTACTCATCGGTCTCATGTGAAACAGCCAGACTGCTCCTTTAACATCCTGTGGGCGCGTGTCTCCGGTTCCAGTGCAACGTCATTCCGGGTGGCGCATGGCGACAAAGATCGTCTGTGCAGAGAGGGATGTCGTCACCCGCCACTTTCTAATGCTCAATAATTCACATGTGGATACTAATACATTATCTGATAGTAAGTCAGAGTTATTCAATGAGATATCTGCAGGGCTCTGTGGGCCACCGGGAGAAGAAAGAGACACAAATTCTCAGATAAATTAAAAAGTAATTCCAGTAGTCTAAGTAGAAATTATGAGATAATCTGTCAGAATTAGGTTTAAAATCAAAAATTATGAAACAGTAAGTCAAAAAAACTTCACTGTTTTTACATCAACATGATAAAAATGTAGTAAGTTAAGACCAAAATGTGATTTACTTTACAGTAACAAACAAACAAATCAATCAATCAATGATTAATAATGACTAATATGAGCCCCGCTTCAACAGCTACAGCAGTGAAGTCCTGCTTTCACATGAATATATGAAGAATAATAAAGAATATATTTATAGTTTAACACTCACAGAGGACATTTTACTGCTTTGAATACTTTATATTTGACTCGTATTCCTACTGTGAGGTTTTAGTTCTAGCCTACTTGTCTAAAGCGGGAGTGAGACGTCTGTCTGTGACCCCCCGGAGGAGGGGGAGGAGGAGCGGCTGGGGCCCGGGGGGCCGCCGGCTGACTGGCTGGCTCTCTGCTCGGATCCTGCGCTCCTCCGTCACGGGGACGCGCCCGCACTAACGCGCACACACCCGCCGCGCGGCCAGGCCACCGGCCAGCCTCTCTGCTTCTCTCTCCCCCTCTCTCTTCTCTCTCCCCGTCCTTTCTTACTCCGTTTTCCGTTAAAACCTTCGGTTCACGCTCGGTTTACCGTCGACCCCCCTCCCGGCCCTCCGGAGCAGCAGCAGGAGAACCGGACACCGGGCGGACAAACAGCCGGATTACCGAGTTTCCGCCGTGATTCTCCGCCCCGCAGCCCGCAGCGGGCCGCAACTTCCCCTCGGTCTGTTTCACTTTTTTTTTTTTTTTCACTTTTTCCCACCGACGGGAACGTTAACCAGACGGTGACGTCAGCCCCGTGATAAGTGGCGGAGCAGCTGCCGCCGCCGTTACACCGGAGGAGACGACGTTAGTGAGTGTTTTAACTTTTCCTCACCGTGTGTGTGCGCGTGAGAGAGAGACGCAGCAGCGCCCCCACCCAACTTTCTGACTCTCAGCCCGTCTGTGTGTCCCGGTACCGACAGGCCCGGACCAGGACCAGGACCAGGACCAGGACCAGGACGGCTGTTTCACGGGCTGAACTCTCTGCACCGCCGTCCGCCTGTCTGTCTGTCTGTCTGTTTGTTTGTTTGTTTGGTTTTCTGAACGGAGAGATGGGCACCGTGTAAACGGAACAGCGCGTGGCTTCCACGAGACTCACGGTTTCCTCTGGTCCGGTAGAGGTGAGTCATCCCGCGGTAATATAATGTGAAACAATGTAGCCTGATGTGCCGGAATATAATAATGTGAAGCAGGAGTGTCATCAGTGTGTCACGACTGAACCTTGATGCTGTTTAATCAGTTTTAATTTAATGTACTCAAGTACAGTGCTTTGATTCAGCCCACTGAAACAATCTGCTGCACTTTAATCCTCTTTTAATGAATCTTTTAATGCTATTAAATAATAAGTGAGTGAGTTTAATTAATTTTCATCACAAGAAAAGTTGTTAGGAACTTTTGCAGCGGAGACCTACTAATTTAATATAAAAATACTAACGTTAAAATGCACAAAAATAAATAAATATAAATGATAAGGTTAAAACAAAATTTGCCTTGAAGTGCCAACGGCAACACGTTCAGATACACTAAATATGATAAATAATTACAATAAATATAATGAGTTAAAGACAAAATGCACCTTACAGGTTTAATATTCTGCAGTGGAACAGCAGTGTGCTGGAAAACAGGTGGATTTTAGTTCATTATTGAGGGTTTTGTACAACTTGAAATTCATAAAGTTTCTCCCTAAAAACATAGAAATACAACAAACAGATGTTCTCTCTTTCCTCCACCTCTTCATGCCGACAAGTTTGGTTTTATTTGTCCCTGTTTTGTTTTCTGCCGCTGATTATTACAGTAAATGTGTTTATTTCCTCTCTTGGAGGCACGATGACGCATTTTTAATAAGATGATCAGTTAACGTCGCTCGGACTTCATCACTTCACACAGACAAACCGCCTCAGACCTATAGACTGTTGACTTTGTGCATTTCAGCAACAAGGAAGTGCTCCGTTATTTTGACTTCCTGTCTGCACAGGAAGTGGGAATGTGTTTGACATCAGCTGGTGATCAGCTTTACCTGCATCTCATCAAGTCATCTGATCGGTTTTATAATCTAATGCACAGCTGAAGGACGACGGAGCTCAAGGCGAGTCGAGCTGGTACTGATAATGGAAAGACGCCATCAGACTGGTTGGTCTGCCGAATCAGCTGTTAGCAGCTCCTGTTAGCGGAGCATCTGTGGATGCACAGACAACTGTCTCTGGATTACTGTGATGATGAAGACAATTTATGGACGTTTCTTCTGGATGGACAGCAGAGATAACGATATCCGCTGGTCACTGAATGAATCAGCAGGTGTTCAGATGTTTTAGTTCTGAACAAATGTTATATTTTTAAACATTGTAAGAAGTGTTTGCTCAAGTGGCGCCATATTGTAACACTTTTCTCTCAGACGTTGAAACCAGCTGCTCTCCTCAAAAATTGCATCTTAAGCAGCGATTTAAACGCTTGTAGGGTCTGCGCAGCTTTAATATGCATGGGGAGGCTGTCGCCCTTATTTTTTTAGCTTTGATCTCGGGACATCCAAGCGCTGCTGATTTGTTGACCTCAGTGTTCTGACTGGAGAATGGTGGCGTAAGAGATCAGCCAGATAAGGTGGCACCAGATCATTTAAGGCCTTAAAAACAAGCAATAAAATCTTAAAGTCTATCCTATAACGGACAGGTAGCCAGTGGAGGGAGGCCAAGACGGGCGTTGTGTGTTCACGCTGTTTTGTTTTTGCTCTGTGACAAAAACACAGACAGCAGCCAAAAAACAAGTTCACGGCTGGTTAAATGTCCACAGAGCAGCGGATACGATTCACCTGTATCCTGATTGACAGGTCGCAGTGGTAGCGTAAAGTAGCCCTGCCGTGAAGCATCCCCTGCTGATTGACTAAATGAACGACGAGTTAAATTACAGACGGCTTCACCTGTAATGTTCATCCTCTCTGAGAGCGGCTTTATGGACAGTTGATGCCACTTTTATTAAATTTACAGTTCAGCGTATCAACATTATCATCGTCTAAAGACACAACACGGCCAAAAGTATGTGCACACAGAAAGTCATCTCATTCCTAAACCCTTAACGTCAGTCTTTGGTTTGTTTACATCGTTGTGTTGGAACATGAAGAGCACAAACAACATGAACTGTTGACACACTGAAATATAATTGTTTCTCTGGAACTGAAGGGACAAACCGGGGAAGACGGACCCGGACCAGAAGAACCAGGGTGTCCACATACTTTTGGTTATATCGTGTTTGGCAGATCTGATAACTGAGAAAATCTTTTACAGACAACGTCAACAGAGAGACTCTCCTCGACACACTGTTCATGTCTGTCTGCTGCTAAAGTTAGCCGTGTGGCTAAAGCAGCTCTCAGCAGGAATCTCAGCTATCCGTGTGTGTGTGTGTGTGTGTGTGTGTGTTGTGTATTTTTAGCTGCATGTAGTTTGGATTCTGCTCTGATGTTATTAGGCAACGCCACAAAACTGATAGCACGAGGGAACAAATCATCTCCTTCACTATGACAGTGAAGCGCGAGCTTCCAACACCTCCTCCAGGCAGGGCCCCGGCATTTTTCTCTTGGTCACACAGGTGAGCCTGACATTTCACAGGACAGTTGTTTGTCTGCCACATCTCTATCTGTGTGGGTTTTCCCCAAAACTCACTTGTGAAAGAAGGTGACAGCCAATCAAAGGCAGAGAACGGGGGCTGGAGTTATACTCCTGCAGTGGCTCGACACCGATACCTGTGGCGTTCCCTCGCTTCTTCTAAAGACCTTTGAAAAAGTCATCCATGCTTTTATTAATGCTCGGTCTACATCAGAAATCTTTAAATCACCTCCAGTTAGTCCAAAACGCAGCTGCACACAACGCCCGTCTTGGCCTCCCTCCACTGGCTACCTGTCCGTTATAGGATAGACTTTAAGATTTTATTGCTTGTTTTTAAGGCCTTAAATGATCTGGTGCCACCTTATCTGGCTGATCTCTTACGCCACCATTCTCCAGTCAGAACACTGAGGTCAACAAATCAGCAGCTCTTGGATGTCCCGAGATCAAAGCTAAAAAAATAAGGGCGACAGAGCGTTTGCAGTGGGCGCCCCCATCCCATGGAACAGCCTCCCCATGCATATTAAAGCTGCGCAGACCCTACAAGTGTTTAAATCGCTGCTTAAGACGCAATTTTTTGCAGAAGGTTTTAACCTTCGTTAAACCAGGTTTCTGATGTTTTAATGTTGTTGTTATGTGTTTGACATCGACCCTGTTCAGCACTTTGGTCATCGGGGTCACACAGAGCTGTGAAGAAGGTAGTAGAAGCACAGATACGACAAATTAATAACAAGTCATTAACGTGGGGCAGGCTGCACGCTCCGCTGCTGAAACGCTTCCAGTGGACTTTGACGCCGGGCTATGGACGCATAAAAATTGTGGTGCAGCCGGAGTCAGCTTTTAGCACAGCGCTGCCACTGTCTATTACTGCACTCCCTGGAGAAATATTGTCTCATTTTTTGTAAAAAGCAATCTCAGAAAGAAGCAGACAGTTTTGCAGTTGAATTTTGCGTTTGAAGGTTGAATTCAGGCTTTCAGACTGACGTGAAAAAAAGTAAAGACAGAAGCTAAAGCCTACCGATCAGTAAAAGTGAGCCACCGTATTCTTACTGACTATTGAGAAAGAGGACGACGATATTAAGGATCAACACGGTTCCTGTGCAGCTGGGTAACTTAGGTCTCTATTCACGATTACAATCAATGAAAGGCAGAACAGTAGGGCTTCATTATGTTACATTCAGTAGGAACTAACTAACATCACATTAGGAGCAACCGACAGCCGACATTTTCCTGGATTTATTTCAGGTTTTGGAAAGAGAACTTCTTCTTTCAAGCTCTCTGGGTCGCTGCTGTAACTATTACGAGTGCCCCAGGAACAACGTTTGGCCATGTCTTAGAAAAATACACCAAAAAAAAAAAAAAAGCTAGAAAACAACTCTTTTTGCATTAGAGTCAACGGAGCGCAGCCATGAACGTGTCGGACCACAGCGAGCCCTATACTGCGCTGTGATTGGCCAGCTGAGTATTCTTCTTAGTGAAGGGTTTCTCTGTTCCACTGTGTTGACTTCTGCCTTCGGGCCGGCTGATTTTCTGTTCAGCCCTCTCTCTTCTACACTTTCTAAATGTTATCCAACGAGTGGATCAAATTCTTATGGTTAAACGGGTCACGTCGCGGCGGGCCGTGACGCTCAAAAGAAAGAATCCTCCGGTTTACAGCCGCTTGTTTGGCCACTAGTAAAACTGGCTTCAAAGCCTGGAGTGCTTCCTGAGAGTTTGGAGGAAATGCGATGCCACCAAGCTGACCAATCACAGCTCTTGCGGCCTGTGTCTCTGCGACGTGTAGGCAAGTTACGTTGTTCGGGAGGTGCGCGTGATTTACCTTTAGGTGTTCATGTGTGTTTGGGAAATGAGGTGAGAGATTAGAATATACTGTTAAATATTTAGGTTCTCCTACATTTTGTGGCGTCTACACCTAAAAGAAAACCAGAGAAGCAGAAGGTTATCTGGAGCCGTGTCCAGGTGTCGCATGATGAACATCTGGCAGAAAGTCTCCCAGCAGTTTCACTTGTTACACTTCACTTGTTTGTTTTTGTATCTTGAGTGGAGGGTCTGGAGCTGCTGACAGGCTGATGTGTGTTGTTGAAGCCGTCTGAGTGAACGTTGTGTCTTTTCTTTTTGGGTGATGTAGAAATAAAATAGTCTTGACCTTCACTCTCACTGCCACAAAGCTATTGTTCCCTCTTCTCTGTTTGTAAGAGACCGACCTCACCAGAACAACGTTGTGTGCAGCACGTTATTACGAACCATAATAACATTTGTTGTGGCAGCGAGTAATGGTTGCAAAGGAAGAATCAGATGATGTATTGTAAAGAGAAATGAGAAAGATGCAAAAATCGCAGTTTGCAGACGCTGTTCTGCTGAATTGTCTCTTAGCACATCCACTCCGTCTGTGGCTGACTTCTTAGAAAAGAAAACAAACAGTCTGACCTGCTTTGAGTGTTTCTGTCACTCATCTGTGAGAAGACCATTAAGCTAGCTGCACCTACATTTGGAGTGCACGCACATTCAAGCCATTATGGTAAATCCACTGA